CAGGCTGTGCTGCTCTCCAAACTGGAATCTGGGAGGAGGCAGCAGATAGAAACCAGCCATTGAACTGACAGCGCGACTCGGAGCCATCCAGCAGCAGGCTTTTAAGATCAATTAGTCCTGCATTAGTCTCTGAGACTTCAGAGCTAGGAATGCCCCCAGGATTTGAGCCACTTCAAGTGTTTTCCCGGTGAGGAGAACCAGGCAGGTACCGGGAAGCACCACCGGGAGCAGAGGGGTATATCTACCCCTCACTGCCTGCCCAAGCTCCTTCAACCAAGCCAAGAGCCCTCAGGAAAAGAGGAAAATGGTATTTTGAGTGGCAAGACCCTGTTGTGGCTTCGGTTTTAACCCCAGCTGGGGGGGGAAGAAAAGGCAGGGGGTTGGGAGGATGATTTTTTTCATTAAAATAAGAATCGATCCACAATGAAAACAGACTTCTAATGGGAAAAGCTGAGTGCAAATGGAAGCTTTTAAAGATCCTTTTGAGTGACAATAACCTGAAGACCCTCCAGGAACTCCAGCCTAGAATAATCAGATTAAATGAAAACTAATATACGATCCTGAAATTCATCCCATGCTGGTCTAAACTTGGAGCAGCTGCATAATTTAGCCTACAGGTTTCTGCCTCATGCCCAGCAGTTCACACTGAATTGTTTAGCCAAACTTAATCTACTGGGAAGGGAAAAAGCTCTTTCCTTCAATATGTGTTAAAGTAAAGCCAGCTTCTAAAAGCAGCTGGGAGCAGGGAAGGTACAGGAATCATACAGGAATCCATGTATTTTTCACAGGAACCCCCAGACTGAAGGTTGGCTGCTTTAAACCAAATAACTACAAGTTAGAAATGATCCAGGAATAAGGGAATCTCAGGGTTGGTGCATTGAAGCTGCTGATGTGGGTAATACCAGGGCTGAGCCCCGCATGAGGATCTTGCATAGGCACAAGCCCACCTTCTCCAGCAGCTCCTCACCACTGACCCCACTGGGCCACATTCCCAAAACACGGATCAAATCCACACTTTCAGCCAGAGAAAGGTTTGAAAATGCAACCTGGGTGGATGTCAGAAGATCAAAGGGAAGGAATTGCTTTTTTCCTGCCAAATCTTAGGGGTTTTACACCAACCCTAGAGGTTTTCATTACAGGAAGGCTGTCTCTTTGAGGAGTCTGGCAATGGGCAGATGTCCTCCCAGGGCCCAGTGACCAGCGTGGTGATGGTGGAGTTGGGAACCTCTCTGCTCCTGCAGCAGAAATAAATCCCAATGGGAAAACAGAACAGAAGCTGCTTCGCTTTGATGTGACAATGTCCCCTCAGATGCCTCAGTGGTCATGGGAGCCTGAGCTGCTCAAGGCTGATACAGGGCAAACAGCCTTGCTGCATCCTTCCCGTCAAGTGGTTTTGGGACCTAGTTGGACCTCAGAGAGAAAACAGTAAGAGGGAAAACAGGATGCAGAGAAACCTCTGGATCATTGGGATGGGCTAGGGAAACACAGCCAAGATAAGGGAGTTGTCACAGAGGGGTTCAGCTGATCATTGTTTTGACTGATGGATCCAAACCCTGCACCCCAGGGCCCATAGAATTGGTGTCAGGACTCTCATTCTCTCTGCTGGGTGCTTGGTGTGTGCCCCCATCTCCCCACCTGAGGAAGAGGAGCCTGTCAGGAACAGAGCACAGTCACCTTCCAAATGGATTTACAGCACATTGACTTGGGAATGACACAGTTTTACAGGGCAAAACCCCCTCTCCAAGCAAACTTCTAGTCAACAGATAACACAATGTGGTTCCGATTTCCTCCCCCCTGAAAGAATTGTTTCTTCTTTACAATTTTTATCCCAGGGAAACGTTTCTAATTTAATCCCCTCATGCACCTTCCTCACTGCCTTTGAATGTGTATTATCTTCCAGGCAGCGCTCCGGAGCGGACTGAGCAGTTTTGATTGAAAAAGAAAAGGAAGAGAAAAGGGGGAGAAATAAAAGCTCCACAAGCACAAGCAGGAATGGAAATGCTGGTCTGGGTTCCATTAGCCCTGACCCAGAGGTTGGTAAGCAAAAGAAATTAATTAAGTTGGGAAGGAGGGAGGCCAGCACCATTTGGGGATGCCCGGGGGATGTCTGTCACCCATCACCCGTCACCCATGCAGGGGGGCACCCTCACCCCGTGTGCTGGCACATACAGAGATGGATGGGAATGGGGAATAGAGAGTGACTTTACAGGGATTTAAATCCCCTGGCTTTGTGTGGAGGATCCCAAGGCAGGATGGGTGCAGCCACAGAGGTGGGATCCTAATGGGCTTTTTGCTGTGGGAAGTGCCCTCCTGGGAGCAGGGCTGGCCCCAAAGAGATAGGGATGGTGCTGGTGGCAAGGGATAGCCTGGTGCAGGCTCTGCACATGGATGTCCTCGGAGCTGGGAAGGTGAAAAGTGCCTTTTCATGGGAGGCTCCATAATCCCATCACAGCAGAGAGCACATGGATGTGTGCTGCTCTTGGCCAACTCACCTGCCAAAAACATCCTGCCCAAGGCCCTGGGAGAGATGAGACAGGACCATGAGACAGGGTCCAGCCTTGCTCTGTGCATCCAATTCCAGGACCCAGTTCCAGACATGGAGAAGAAAATAGAAATGCTGCAAGTAACATCTGTCAGTGCTGGATCACACATCACACAGATGGGAGATGCTCAGCGTGAAGCTGTGCTGGTATCTCCCATACCTATGGAGATACACTCCCATACTCCGTACCTCTATGGAGATATAAGCCTGCACTTGAGACCTTCATCAACTCTTGATGGACACAGCCTGGGCTCCTCCATCCCCAGTCCCTTGGCAGGTCAACCAAGCCAGGAGGGATGATAATGGGAGCGAGATGCGGGATCGCAGCACTCACCCCCGTCCCTCTGCACGCTAATCGGAACAAAATGTTCTTCCATTGTTCACACAGAGCGTTGGTTTCCAACTATGGCAAATATTTAGGAAAACACAATTGAGTCATAAATGTGATTTACAATTTGGAGCACCCTGTATGTTACTACAAGCCCTGCAATTCGTCTGGGTTTGAAAAAGACCCAAGGAACAGAAAGGACTTTCCCAATATCTGGCCAAGAGCATTAACATCTTGCAGACGCACTGCAGCTCCAAGTGATGGGCACTGTATTCCCAGTGTCAGCCACCAGCCATCACTCCCAGAATACTGGCTCATCGATGGGAAAGTCGGGCACACACCAGGACCTCACATACTTCGGACCGTCCTGCTCCCTCCAGCCATCCTGAGCTGGATCCACCAGAGATGAAGCAGCTGGAAAAGAAAAGCAACCCCAGACCAAGAGGGAGCCCAAATATACCCTTGGGCACGCTGGAGAAGGGAAGGGTGAGTGGTGCTTTCACAGCCTGGGATCACCAGGACTGTGATCAGACACTTGGAGACACCACCAGACACTCCTCAAACACGAGTAAATGCCAGGACACCCAGGACTCACCTTATTTACCACCCATCGTCTTGGTCTCGTGGGAGCTGGCATCAGGGCAGGCACTGCAGGACTGCACCCAGGGCCTGGCTGCCCTCCTGGGGCTGTTGCTCTTGTCCAACACTTTTAATGCTGGACTCAAAAATGAGTGAAGCTCCTGCCGGTTATTCAAAGCTGTTTGCTTTCATCCCTTGCCAGAAATATGCCCATTTGGTTCAGGCAGGCAAAACTGGGGGAGAAACGTGTAAAATGGCATTTCTGTGCCCTCACCCACAGCCTGTGCTGCCCCAGGCCAGTGCCAGTTACTGGTTCCTTTGCTTTTCCCAGTTTGGACCCGTATTTCTTTCAAAACCACATTCAGATGCTTTTGGCACATCTCACATGGGAGGGGATGGGACCTGAGGACAGAGATGTGGCCACCACCACTGCCTGTTGGTCCCTGCGAGGTTGGTGGCCCCTGCCTGGCACACAGCAGTGCTTTCCCCTTGTACATGGCTTGGGCTCAGTTTGCTCTGGAAGGGTGAAAGCCTCATTGTAAGCTTTCCGGCCACTGGAATTCCTCCCCTGGGTGCCAAGGGGAATGTCTGCAAAAGCCCAGAAGGAAAAGCCTGGAAAGCTCCTTTCTGCGCTTCTCCCTGCCCTCTCCTGCCTGCTGCGTGCTGTGCAGACTGCAGTGCTGGACCATGCCCATGGGATGCTCGACTCCTCCCGGATCACAGCTGCTCAGACACTTCCAGCTCCCCAGACAGGCGGATTTCAGCCCTGGGGCCAACAACAAAAAAGCCCCAGTTGTACAAATCCCAGGTTAAGCAAACAGGAAGGTGCAGCCCAGGCCAAGCCCTGTTCAAACAAGCCCTGTTCAGAGGTGGTGGGGCTGGCAGCAGATGTGTTGATTCCTGCCTCCTTCCCTACCTGGAGACCCGGGAGCATCGGCAGCACTGGGACACCGGACAGGGCGGCCGCACAGGGCTGTGCTTGTCCTCAGGGCTGAGTCACAGAGCCCACATGGTAGCTCCAGCAAGGAGCTATTTTGGGTTCCTCAGTAAACCTGTGGCTTTCTGCAGGCGAGCCTGATACAAAGAGGTTTCATGCATGGCTTTGATCTCTTTTTAACCCTTGCAAGAAGAACCATGTGCAGCAGGAGGTGCTAACAAGGAATGGATTATGATAAACCACCCCAGGCACTTGCTGGCTGTTTCAGACACCAGCCATGTCAAGCTCTCACTTCCCTCCCATCACTGTGATTTGGGCTCACCAAGTAAAACCCATGTGGTGGGACAATTTGGGGTGATTTTAAACACAGATGAGGGGAGACTCCAAACAGGAGGGACAAGGGAAATACAGGGTGAGGTGATCCCAGGGTGTTTGGGTCAGGAAAAGCAACACCAACACCTACCCCAAACTAACTGTGATGTTTGTTCACCTTTCTCCTGAAATCTATTGCTGATGGTTTCTGGAGCAGCCTGGCAATAGAAGTCAGTCACCAGGCAAGGCTGTGATGAGAAGGATGAACAAAAAGAGAGAGGAGAAAAATCAGAGCACAACAGCAGGTTGGCTGGGAGCCTTCTGTAAAATATGTGTAAGCAAGGGTATGGGTAAAAAATACAGAGAGAGGCAAGAGATATTGTTTGTAAGGGAGCTGCTGCTCTCCCTCTTCCCCAGCTGGTCCCTCTTGACCTTGCTCATCCTCCTCCATCAGTCCCGCATGGGGTATGGCCAATTCCTGTCTTCATAGAACTTCTTCAGGCCCTTGAGGTTGACAGGGGGGAAGTAAGGGCCGATCCTCTTCCGAATCCACCACTTCCCCTCGCTGGCATGCTTTCCCCCAGGTTGGCTGAATTTGTATTTAAAGTGTTCCCCTCGGATCCACCTGCAGAGAGACAAAGCACAGCCTCATCAGGAGGGAATGGCAATGCTGCTGAGTGAAGGTGGAAAGGCATCGGTCCATATTTACAGGCCCTGGCAGTGGAGGTTTTGAGTCTTTCCAGAGATGGATGGAGAAATGAGCTTGCTGGTGCTCAGCCTGTCTGGCTCCTGCATCCTGGTGCTCCATTCGTCCATCCTTGGGATGCTCACATTCAGAAGCAGCAATGCTGCCATCCCTGATGGAGTGAGGCAGTGGGGAGCTTTCGTGCTCCTCTTAGAATCCCAGACTGATTTGAGGTGGAAGGGACCTTAAAGTTCAGCCAGCTCCAACCCCTGCCACAGGCAGGGACACCTTCCACTGGAGCAGCTTGCTCCAAGCCCGTGTCCAACCTGGCCTTGAACGCTGCAAGGGATGGGGCAGCCACAGCTTCTCTGGGCACCCTGTGCCAGTGCCTCAGCACCCTCACAGGAATACAATTTAATAATGATGCACCAGGCAGAAGAGCTTTAACACCCCCTGTGCACTCCCACCACCACCAGCAGCTCCATACATCTCTCTACAACCAAGTTTGAAAGAAAAACAGCAGGAAAATTGTTGCCTAAGAGCAACTATGGAGAGTTTCTGCCCGAGACGCTTCTAGGTACAGAGCTCAACTCCAGCCCCAGCATCCCTCAGCCCCAGCCCACGGCTGCTCCTTCTGCTCCACAGCTTATTAGCAGAGCTACGAGCGCATCTGTTTTCTGGCTGCCCTGGGAGCTGCCAGAAAAGGAGCTTTGCAAACAGTGCAGAAAGAAGCATTCATCAGTGTCGCCAAACACATTCGGAGCCTGACCGTGCCGCTCGGTTCGGTCCCGCTTGATGTAGGGCATGCTGACAAGAGAAGGAGTAACACCCCGGTGCTCCAGCGATGTGGTCCCTGTTTGCAGAGTGCATCGCTGCCTTTGCTGGCTAAGTTCATAAAATAAGCCACAAAATAAAAATGTCAAAGTCATGTCAATGCTCATTTAAACCTGCTTTGCTTCACTACTAAAATACAAACCCTGCTACTGAGCAGGGCACGGCGCTCCCGCAGCTGCTCGCTGCACCTCGGGCAGCCATAAAGTTCCTTCCTACCGCTAAAATAATTAGGGATGACTCCTGTATATTTGCCATTAGTGCTCACCTTCGGAACGCTGCCACTCCAATGGGAGACTGGAGACAACAGATTAAAAGGTCTGCTGTCATCATCACATCTCGACATCTCAATTTAGATCTTGCTGGGTACCCAGATGGGCCATACAGGAGCGATTCTCCTAACACAGCACATGAACACGGAGCTGTTCCTCACGCCCATCACTTGCTGCTGCCTTTCAGCATCCCACAGTAAATCTGTTTTCTGATTGTCTCCTGGCTGGAACAAAAGCAGGAAAAATATCCCCGTGCTTCCCCCTCTGCTGAGGATAAAGGGGTGGATCCAAGGAAGGCCAGATTAAAGCATCTGGAGCTGCACAGGGATGGCTCTAATTTAAACAACGGGTTACGGCTGAGTGCTGAGGGAAGAGTGGGGATGGAGATGTCCCCCAGTTCCATACCGCTCCACAGCAGAGCCTCCTGGGCCACCCCAGCATTCCCCCTTCCTGCCTGCTGATAGGAGCTGCAGGGAGGCAGGATACCAGCCCCCAAATACAGGAAGGTCAATGGGAAAAGGCAGAGGTGATGCCTTAGCCCTGGCTGGGGCTCAGGGTGCACAAACCTGCATCTCATCACCATAAATGCTGCCCTGCAGCTGCTAGCTTCATTACAGCCGGGGCTGCTTCTGCACCTTCTCTCCCTCCTCCTTGCTGAGGCTGCTCAAAGTCAAACGGGGGCTGAAGTGTTGCTCCCACAGTGTTTACTTCACAGGAGCACAAAATTTCCTGTTAATAATTAGACATTACAGAGCAGCAACATTCCCGTGGGCCTGGGTTGCCTCCAGGCTCCTGCCCGGGATGGCTGGAGATTTCCAAGCTGCTTCCTTGCTTTCTTGAATTCAAAATACCACATCCACCTCCCCAGAAAGCTTCAGGGGCTGATTTTATGTCAGTTCCTCTCCTGCTCGACGCCTCCCTCTGCCTCCCACACTGGGGATTTTGGGGTTTTTCTTCACTAAGCAACTGCAGAGCATCTACCAAGCTGGACCCATCTCCATGTATACCCATGATGTGGGGATAACGGAGTGCCCCATGCAGAAGGAGCTATCTGCAAACCCCATCAGGCAGAATTCCCATTTTCTAGATGGGGATGCAGAGCAGAGAGAGCAGTTGACTTATCCAAGCAGACCTGGGATACCTCAGGAGATGTCAGGTCTCTGCACCAGACACAGAAGCGCCTTCTCCCCAACCTCAAGGACTGTCCTATAACCCCTCTGGAATGAAAATTTCCTTGTCCCTTTCGAACAGGCTTTGCCCACATTAAATAATACCTATCATCTGATTTGGTATGATTTTTCCCATATGTTCTCTGCCTATTAAAACGCTCATTATCAAAGGGGTTGACATGTAAAACTAGAACCGTGTGAGCATTAAAGCAACCACATGCAACTGAAGATGCATTTTTGTGGCATAAAGTTTGCCCTTCTATCTGACTACGTTTCAAACCCTTCTGTTCAGAGCCTAAAAAAGAATCTGAAGAGTCCCCCCCCAAACCCCCAACTTCTAAATTCAGCCACAGTCTTGTCCCAACCACAATCACTCCGCTTCCCCCAGCACGCCCCATCTGAGCCATGATCTGCTGTGTTGAGATGCATGGTCCACATTAGGATGACAAGATCCATGGAGGAGGAACCTGCACAGCTCTGTGGGCTGTGGAGCTTGTAAACTCCACGCTGCGCTCTTCCAGGAGCTGAACCACTCACCCAGTGATGAGTTATAAAGCTCTGGAACACAACCTCAGGGCTCCTGCACGGCCAGGACTTCTCTGGAATCCAGGACACAAGACTTGAAGGTTTCTGGGAAATGGAGGTACCAAAGAGCCCTCACACAGCTACAGCAACCAAAGTGTGGAGAAACTGCAATGGAAATACCTCTGTGCAGCAGAATACCTCTTAGCATCAGAATCTGGATGATGACAGCAGCATCTGGACCCTGCGCTATCCATCCTCTCCATTCGTCCCATGGTTAGTGGGAGAAACATGGAAAACCTGGAACCTTTCCTTGCAAGAGTCGAGTATGCAAAAGCTGCAGAGTTTAATACTCACCAGAGCCTCTCATTTCAGGGCTCACAGAGTTTACAAGCATCACTTGGAACCCTGGACAGCTTGTAACTCAGGTGAGATGCTCGCATGCAGTCACCTCCATCCCAAGATACCACTACAAGCTACAGCTCACCTTATCAGCAATTGCTTGTGTTTTGTGCAACTCTGTGGCTCACACAAAGACCTTCTGGCTGATGGAAGAGATCCAGAGGTCCCTGAGCCCCCTCTGATGCAGGAGACCGCCAGCATGCATGAACCATACTTGCTGCTCTGGAGATCTGGGAACATCCTCAAGAAGGTCATGAAGAAGTTATCTGACTTCATCTACATCAAAAGGAGTCTAATGCACATGGGTCACTCATGCTGGAAGAAGGATGGGCAAGACTCCTGTTTCAGAGGAGACAGACAAAGGTCAGGAAGGACAATCCTGGCTGTAAGCAGTTTCCCAAGGTTTATGGAGCAAACACAACCGGCAGCTCCTCCTGGCTCCCTGGGAAGCACCAGAACCAGCTACCACAGCCAGGCAGGAAATGGCTCAGGAGAAGAGTTAGGCTGAACGGGGTCAGATCCCTGTGGAAACACGCAAGGGATAAATAATCATTTGAGAAGCCAGAATCAATCCTAGAATGGTTTGGGGTGAAGGTACCTTAAAGCTCATCCAGTTCCAACCCCTGCCATGGCCCGCGACACCTTCCAGCAAAGCAGTTTGCTCCAAGCCCCATCCAACCTGGCCTTGAACTGCCAAGGATGGGGCAGCCACAGCTTCTCTGAGTAACCTGTGCCCAGAATCAAGATACGGTCAGATAAAGCAAGTGAAGACATTTCTCTGCTATGACCACAAGAGGACAAGGGACAGAAAGGCCCCTTTTGCAGCTTCTGAGCCCAGTGGAGGTGCTGGCAGAGTGACAGCACTGATGCCCATGTAGATAGCTGGAAGAGAGAGGACAGAACCACAGAGATGCCCAGAAGGACCCCACCACCCCACATGGAATATCAGGACCCGTCTGCAACCACCCTTCTGGACAAGCACTCTCTCCATCACCACCCACATCGGGCATCGCCACCACGGCCTCAGGGAGGGCAGAAAGGCTAAAAATAAAAAGCCTTATTTTTTACATCAATATCTCCATCCCCCAGATGCCCAGTAGCAGCTGCACTGCAGCACTTTCAACATTCGATCATATATCAGCCTCTTATGACATCTTCCAACTGGACGTGTTAGAAATTAGCAGCAAGACTGGAGTTGGTGGGATGCAGGGCTAAATCTCCCAGACAGCTGTAATTAGTTCCAGAGGGTGCAGCTGTCTCCATGCAACAGCTGAGGGCTTCGAGGGAAAAAACCAGAGCCCATGGTTTCTGTTAGAATTAATGGCCTGACAGGCCAAGGCGGGCTGGGAGAGGGAAGAAAGAAACCAAAACACGGGGCGGCTCTTCCATTTTTAGGGGCTTTTTTTGTTGCTCTTGAGGTTCCCCACTCCATTGTAAATCAGGGAGCAAGGGGCAGTGGAAAGTACAAATTCATTACAGTAACAGAGCCTCCATCATCGGCTTTCTTGCTTCTTCGAGCCCTGTTAGTAGGAGGGATCATAAATTCATCTTGGCCCAAGTTTGCAGAATAAGGGCAGTTTTATGGGTTGTTTTTCAATGCTGCTGAGTTCTCTTTCTCCAAGGCTCCTGCGAGGTCTGGGCCTGCAGAGCCAGAGCATCCCATGGGCAGTTTCTCCTCAAAACTCTCCTGGGAGAGGGCAAAGTGGGGGTTTTCCCCCATGGACAGGTTAGGAAGGGAGGCTGGAGGCTGGGGCTACACTGAGGGCAGAGCAAACTTTGGTTTCACTGAAATCAGGTGTGATGGGGATGCAGTTGATGCTCCCAATGTAGCCAAGGCAGGAGCTGCCCTCGCCAAAGAAGATGCTCCCACAGCCACGGGACAATCTAAACTTCCCCTCACTCAGCTTGAGCTTGTTACCTCTTGTCCTGTCACTTACTACGTGAGAGAAGAGAGCAGCCACCTCCTGGCTCCATCCTCCTTTCATTCAGGTAGCTGTAGATGAGCTCTGCCATCCCTGACAATGCTGAAACACCAAGGTTGTTTTTAACCAAAAGAAAATCCCTCAAACTTTCATTTCATTCTGATAATATCAGACATTACAATGTTGATGATAAATTAAAGATATTCTTTTAAATTACAGTATAGAGGGAAAGAAGCAGCAAACTGCAATAAAACATTTCACCGTGATGAAACCCACTGCGAATGTGTTTCTACCTTTTCACCTCTGAGGATCCTGTCACCTCCCAGCACAGGTTCATGGCTCATCCCCTGTGGACCACATGGGGACATGGAGGGAGACTTGTCTGAACTGCCACAGGGTCAGAGGAGGCACTTGGGATTCAGTCAAACCCAAGTTCAAACCCTGAAGGACTCACACCCCTATGGATGCTCCTAAACACCGCTCCTGTCTCCCTGAAAGACATTTTGGGAGATCTTGCAGAACAGAAATGCCATTTCCACCTACACCCCAGTGATGCCCGTATCTTCCAACAATCCCATGCTCCCTGCTGCTACAACAGCTCAGGATTACCTTCACCCTTTCGGGGTGTCCAAGGCAGCAGCCCCCAAAGTGCCTTCTACACCGCGCAAATGCAAAGCCCTTTCCATGGCTAGGGCTGTGTCTCCAGAGCAACCACAGGGAAGCCCCTATACCTTCTGCCAGGGTCCACAGTGACTTACATGGCCTGAAAATCCAGTCCAGGTATAAAGCCCAGCAGCTGCGACACAAATGGGCAATAAATGGGCAACCAAATGAAGAAAGGACACCAAACGCTGTATTCTTCTTGTGTTCCTGCAGCCAGGTAGCATCAAATGGGAAATGCTGCCTCCATAAATAACACCACCACTACAAATCCAGGTCTTCAGATCCATGCTGGGGCCTTTTTCAACAAAGTGCTACTATAATTGGAATAAAAGTCCTTAAGTGAACATGATTTAATATCAGAGACACCGAACACTTCAGGTCAAAAATAACAAACTGGGGTTTCTTTTTACCTCCTCCTGTAGGCAAAAACCTGATTTTTGTTTTCTTTTATTGTTGCAGTCTGCTTCCATGACGGTGTGTTAAACACTTATGAATTTCTCAGCCAAAGCCCTACCGTTCAGATTTACGAGGGCTGGTGTTTTATGAACTATCCGCTGCCCAAGCATATTTGGTAAATCCACATTCCACAAACATCACTGTGCTTGAAGTAAAGCTTCACACTCAGCTAGGCTGAGTGCTCAACAATACCCTCATTTTTAATCAGTCACCTGTTTCTCATTTTAAGTTTATCACACTTGAAAAAATACTATAATTTCTGGAGTTGTAAAGAAACCTACAAACTTTGGTCTCCGAAATTTCATTTCGAAGGCATTAACTCATTCTGAAAGTCCCTTGGCTATTGAAGGTGTAGAGTTTCCATTAACAGAATAAACTCCGTGGAGTATGGAGTGTAATGTTCTTATGGAAAACAGTCCCTTGCCCTAATTATTTAGTCTAGCAGGGAATGAAAATAATTAAGTCTCAAAATTCCCTTTTGAGTGAAGGGGGGGTGGAATATGGTAGGAAAATTAGGCTTTTTTCAACCCAGCTACTGAAGGGAGCTGAGCTGCGGTGGGCACAATCAGAGACTCAGAATCACGGAGTGGTTTGGGCTGAAGGGACCTTAAAGCTCCTCCAGCTCCAACCCCAACACCTTCCACCGGAGCAGCTTGCTCCAAGCCCCTGTGTCCAACCTGGCCTTGAACACTGCCAGGGATGGGGCAGCCACAGCTTCTCTGGGCACCCTGTGCCAGCGCCTCAGCACCCTCACAGGGAAGAGCTTCTGCCTAAGACCTAATCCTTCTATTAATCTAATTCTATTCATCTAAACCTGTCAGAATTGGGATGAGGCACAACAACAGGGATGACCAAAGAAATGCAAATAGTAACAGGCATCAGATGGGAGATCCCAGTGCAGGATCCAACCCAGACCCCAGCCCAAGGCAGGATGAGCACCCCCCGTGTTTCCAGCCCTCACCTTCACCCCCGGGTGCAATCCCGGTGGTGCCAGTGTTCCAGGTGTTGGGATTTGGCCCAAACTGTGAGCCACAACCTGGGATGCAGAGTGAAAGGGGGTGTTGGATGTTGGCCTGAGCCCAAATAAGCATTTGTAAATTGTTATTTTTATTTTACACTACCCAAAAATACCCCAGACCCATGAAAAACTTCGAAAGCAAAGTTAATGCCAGAGCAAAGGCAGCTGCCACATAAACCCAGCGCTGGATCCTGATCTTTTCCTACTATAAACTAGCTGCTAAGGAGTGAAAACAGAGGCTGGGCTTTGGTTAAACCGAGGTAACACATGAATTGAGACCCTGTTCCACAAAATCTATAGCCCCGTGTGCTCAACTGCATCCACGCTGCTGCGTAATTACTCACTGGACCTGCCTGTGTTCCTCTGAATGCTCTGCAATTCTCTTCTATAAAAGCTAACAAAGTTAAAGGTTTGCTTTAAATTCCTGAACATTTCATTTCCTCACCTGTTAGAGACTACAATAACACCCCCCCCCCACCCATCTGGAGCAATGCAGTGTTATCCCAGCCACGTCCCACTTCATTATTTTCATTTTAAAACGAGTTCTTGTGTTCAACTACTTCATTTGCCTTTTTATTAACATCACTGATGCCAGATGCAGAGATGCAGCCTGTCTATGGTAAAGCCTTGCAAGGCAAGATGTGATATACATTAATTCATCCTTAATCTGTTATGGTGTCTTATTTTTAGCTTCAGACATGGTGAATACCAACATTTTTTGGCACTGGGGGATACGTGAGAATAAACAGGCCTGGGATTATCAAATGCTTCTGTCGCTCCATGAACCACAAGAGCTGTTTATTGCCAGCAGCCACCAGATGGTCCTGGCTTGTGGCTGCTGACATAAGGTGACACCTACTTCAAACTGGTGACTTGGTGTCTAAAGGTCCTAAGTCCTGCTAAAATCCCAGGGTCAGCCAGCACTCATCTTTCTTCCAGTTATTGTTAATAAAAGAGATCAATGCAAAGGAACATCCTGCAGTGAATGCCACTCAGTGAATTTCTGGCACTGAACCTTGAGGACATGAGGGAAGTTTGGTGAGACTCACGTAATAAATCCACCTGAGATGGAGGCAATGCAATACAGGTTGCATGCAAACCATCCCAGAGGAAGCGCCTTGGTAAAAGGTGGAAGTTTTTGGTGTCTTAGCTGGCAAAGGAGTCTCTCCTCAGCAGGTCTGGGGGATGTGCTGTGCTAAAGCTGAAAAACATCAGCAGGGTTCAAGAGGAAGTTCATTTCACGGTGCTGTGAACCTTCCTCCCTGTTTGCAGTGCATCCTAAGAGCCTCAAATGGAAAATATTAGCAAGAGCCTAATATTACTTGAGTTGATCCAAAATTCCCTTAAAATGTTTTCTCAGCTAAAAATAAATTCTTCAACAAAATAGAGACTTTTGTGAGAAATTTCTTTTTGTTAAAAACATTCAGTTTTTCATCTGTGCCTTTCACTTGCTGATGTTTGCTTTGTCTCCTCACTAAAAACACAAACACTTCCAAGACAAGTGTCCACAAAAACAATCATTTCTGCAGGACTGCTTTGTCTTTGAACTACCTCAGTAGGCCAGTAGAACTGGGGCTCACAAAGTGATCATGGCAAAAAATCTAAGGCCTTTGGGCAGGAAACCACTTCAGTGGTCATGATTCCTGTCCAAGAGAAGCAACGCTGAGCCCTTCACAGACCCGCTTTGGAACAAGCTCAGCCATGGTCCTTGTGTCCCCACTGGGAAGGTATTAAGGTGCTGAGAGCACCAGCTCTTCATGGTGTCCTCATATAAACTCCACTCTTGAAAGACCATGTGGGTACCACCAAATACAGACCCCAATCTATCAACAGAAACCATGTGTGCACAGCCAAGACAGGAACACCACTGAGCCCAGGTACCTCCAGGTCCTTGATGAAACCCAAAGCTTACCGTGGAGGTGCTCTGCCTGCAAAGGGGTTCGTTGCCATCAAGGACAAGGTTTCCTCTTCCTGGGCCAGCAGCTTCCCAGCCAAGTGAATGATCCATTCATTCTGCTCATAGGTCTTGGGGAAAGAATAGGAAACATAAATGTTAGGTGCTGCTGGGCTTGTTGTGTAGTGTTATTAGTACTGAAGAATTCTGCGTGGTCTCTGGGGAGAGATTACAACTGATTCAGGTAGCAAACAATGTGCTGCAGGGAACAGATCCCACGGGATCCAACACCCTGAGGTCTACACCAAGACTTTCTGTCATCTGCAGGGAGCAGGGAGAGCTTCACTGAGCTTGTCTCATCTGGAAATTGTTCCCAAGGGTATGGACACAACCGAGGGTGTGCAAATCACAAAGCTGAATGAGCTGTTTGTTAGCTGAGCTGGGATGGCTACGTGCACTTTTCCAGTCTCCCCAGGCTGCAAAGCAGCATCCTTCATCCTCCAAGCATCCCCAAAGGAATTCACTTCACAGCTGAGGGACCCAAGAGTGTGCCCATGGCCAAGCGATCACAGCTCTGCTCATGACGGAGACCAGATAACAGTCAGGGATTCATCTCCCCCCTCACTCAGCCCAGTGACCTCTGCTCAAGGCGTGATGCCTGGGTGGGTATTTCTGCCCCTCTGCATCATTCCTGTGCCAGGGAGAAGCCTACAACTGCTGCTGCCAGGAAAACATAGAGCATCACTGGTCCAGGGGACATGCAGCACACATACAGCCCCTCCTGGGCAAGGGGCACCCACCACCCCTGGTTGTCCCCAACACCCATCAGCTGTGGCTCCTCCAGACCTCGCACCACAAATCAATTTGTGACTTCACACATCTCTAACATGGTTGGAGCATTCTTGCCAATTCTGCACCCCAAATACTTGATTTAAATCATTTCTTTTGGCAGCAAGCCCCACAGAGGACAGTAATGGCATGTTCTGAAATGCCAATCCATACACTGTTTTAAATAGGTTGCTTTCCCTGTTGCGTTACCCAAGAGAAAACAGAAGAAAGTGACTTCTCTATTCCCAGTTCCTCTCTCCTCTTTATTTCCTTGCATCTCTCTGTCCTCCTGACACCCCATGCCTGTGCCTTACCCTCCACCACACAGCCACTGAAGAGAAGCAGCTCGGCTCTTGGGAACCACAGAGGCAGAACCTGACTGCATTTCCCTCCCTGCAGGAATCCATGCATCTCATGCTGCTGCTGAAGTTCCATAAAAAGCATTTCCCTTTCTGATGACTTTCTGCGCCTTCTGCTTCCACTGTGATTCTATTTTCCTCCTTTTCTCATGTGTACCCAAATGGATTTTTGAATGCAAGCAGTAGGGGACACTGTGGGAAAGCGAAACCCAGCAGCTGTACCTGCAGGACTGTGACTAAGGCAGAGCACGAAGGCAAAATTACTCTGCAAAGCTTCTCTAATGGCAAAGTTTGTTATTCCCATTGCTAAGGGAAGCAGGAGAGAAACCCCAGAGATGGAGAACATCAAACGCTGGTGGGAAGGCGCATCAAGCAGCGGCTCTACCTCACAGGGCTCCTGATCTGTGCTCATCACAATTGAGAGGAAAACCACAGTTATTTAAGACAACAACACTGTAAAAAAGATTTCTCTCCCCTTCGGCCTGCTTCCATCCTGCCTCACTGCGTGGCTCATTCCAGCATCACCACGGATGGGTGCTGGAGTCAGGGATGTTCCCCACCACCAGCCCCGTGCTTGCTCTGCCCACCCCAAAGCCCCATTTACCCTCTGGTGCATCCCTCTGTCCACCAGCATCCTGTGCCGCCCTGTCTCCCATCTCCTGGTGCAGAAGAGGTGGCGGTGGCTCTCAAGGAGGGACAGGGCAACCTCAGTCCCTGTGGGACTGAGGTCACCATGGCCCCAACACAGAGATCCAGGAGGGAAAACATGGTGGGTCCTGGAGCCAGGAGCTTGGCATCATGTGAGATGTTAAACATTAACCTTGCAAATCTGGCAGGGATGCTGCAGCCTTGGCCATGTCATCATGGGACAACTCACACCAAAACACCCACTGTGCCAAGCAACTCTATACCTCTTGAGAGCTCCATGATGCCCGAGATGCTTATTTCAGGCCAGGCTTTAGAACGGATGCTGGCACATGGGGAGTCCTTTCCAAGAGGTGAAACAGCAACTGCAGATGGCCAAGTATCTCGGGTCAGATCCTCAGCATTTAGTGCCTCCCTTGATATTCCTTTTTAAAGTGCTCTGTATGATTTTAAGCTCTATCTGTAGGAAGGCCTGGGAGGTGTGAGCGTACCTTTGTGCACGCTGGGGACAAGAGAAGAACAGAAAGAGAAATCAACAGACTCCCATAGAGCTTTACAGAGGACCCCAAATCTTCAAAGCCTGATTCGAGAGCAGGAGGGTCTGCAGTGGTGGGACTGACTCCCTGGCTCACACAGTCTCCAAATCATTAATTAGCAGCTCCATGTGCCCCAGAGTTGGACTTCTGGTTTGTAAAGTGTTTTGCTTGTAAAATTTACAGCATGTCTGGCCCCAGCAAAGTCTGTGGTGAGAAATATCTACCCGGAGCAGCCCCCGCACTCCCCCCAGCACCAAGGCTCAGATACCGCACACCACTGATGCTCAGAGTAGGAACAACCGTGCTGTTTAACTCATCACTCTGTAAAGGGATACGGTGGCAAAGGGAGAGAAAAAAAAGCCCAGGAGATCTGGGCTGTGTCCAGGGAAGCATCACACCACAGAGCGGGAGGGTGACGGCTCCTCTGTCCGTGGATCCAGGGAGACCCAGACCTGAACACCATCTGCAGAGTGGCAATGGTCAGGATGGGAGGGATTCCCTGGTACTGACATTCTGCCATCTCTGAGTGTGCCAAACAAGAGAGTCATAGCTTGAATCATCCAGTGGATTAGCAGTAATAACAACAAAAGCCAGGACAGATGCACACATTGCATCTATCTACACATACCGTGCGTATCAGGGTCATCTTTAGGCTTTGGATCTTCAAAGAGCACAAAGAGAAGCAGCTGGGACTGACTCTGCACCAGTGACACGAGTCCCCAGGCTGCTCTGATTCCATCAAGATATGGGCATAGGCCAAGGCTCCAACATATACCTCCTGCCCTCCAAAACATGAGCTGCACGAGTCACTGTTGAGCCTGAGCAGAGCATCCCTGGGGAGGTGCAGCCCCCTCAAAAGGAGGGCCATGCCCCCCTCCTTCATCTTTTGAGTTTTCTTTCTGTTTTAGCATAGAAAGTAACTAGGGAACCCTAAAAACACAAAAAACCATCATCAACCCAATGAAAATGCATGAGAAAGGACCTTCACTACCAAGCCAAAGCCTTTCCATGTTCACAGACAGTCCATGCAGATCCCCAGGAATGCAACAGGCACAGTCCTCCAGCAAACCAGATCATCTCCAACTCTCCTTACAACTGGTACCAGCACTCAAGACCCCCCAAAATCAGGCTTTAGGTACAACACAGCAGACTAACAAAGAGGACCTGGGACTAGGTGTTAAAACACCACGAGCTTTTATTTCTTGACAGGCTTTCCCTGCCACTCTCACTGCCTACACTGCTTTGGGATGGGGTTTCCTCCTCCTTACCCACACATAGCGCAGCATGAGGGGCTGAGCATCCCTGCACACTGGAAGCCACACTACTCTCAGACTTCTCCTTAGCTGTTGATGTTCTCTGACACTTTACCAGTGTATAAGCACATTCTCACCTTGAATACATTAACTTCTATACAGTAGCATTTAATAACTTCACACAATTTAAACCCCAATCACTGCTAAGTCAGGCAGCAGCGAGGAGCTGGGGCAAAGCAGCCGCAGCAGTGACGGAACTGCAGAGATAACAAAGCAGAAGAGAACATAATCATCACCAAAAATCCATATAAAACCCACCCGGCGCTACAGGGAACATGTTCCCAACTGGAATAATAATAGTAAGAACCCCTTTCCTCTAGCTTTAATTGGTCATTTAATGAAAAAGGACTGTGGATTAGTGTGGCATTTTATTGAATCTCAGTCCTGGCACAGGCGCACGGGAGGAGGGAAGTATGAGATGCACATGTGGAAACAGCTGGAAACTTGGCAAGGGAGCCCAGCATTATTATTTCACATGGTTGGGAGCCCTGCACCGTTTCACCTCGGCGTCGGTGAGTGAGGGCGGATGACAGAGGGGAAGGGGAGGTTTATGTTTCCTGTGCTGTGTCATAAGGAGCATTTTGCATCACAGCCTGGAAAGCCATAACTCCACCATCCTGGATATTTTCACTCAATATTCCCATTGCTGTTTACACTGCTGTAGTTAAGCACCTTCAACTGTTGCTGTTTAGGGAGTCTGAGCTATCAGCTGGAGAAATAACCCATGTCCCACAGAACAGAAGGTATAACTAATGCATCCCTTTGCTTTCTTACAATATTCCAGCTCACTGCTGTTTGTGACCATCCTGCTTCCCAAATGACTTAACCAAGGAAGGTCAAAGGCTACACCAAGGGCATCCCTTCTCATTATCCCCGATAACCACATCCCATTCTTTCTATTAGTTTCCCAAAGAGGCAAGCTGTTTCCCTGCAGGTATAGCATTTCAGCAGGGGCAGTTTCTCAAGCCTCACTAAAAGCCATCCCTTAGCTTGTCCTATTGGAAAATGCCTGGGAAAGCAGCAGATCCCTGGAGGCAGAGGGTGCAGTGAGAGCACAACAGGTCCAGCTGAGGAATAAAAGGCTGTGTGAGAGAAGGGAGCAAGACTTTGGGAACTAGCTCTTAGATCTTGCCTATACAGGGAAATCACACACCTGGCATAGCTCCCGTATCACCTCTGCTTTGGAAAGAAAAGTCACTTTGTTCCAGAATGGAGTCTAGACAGGGAGATACAATAGCCACTGTAGACAAGAATCATTCCCTGCATAGACAAGGTCTCACTGTATTTATACAGCCCGTGGCACGATAGGCTATCGGTCTTATTTGGGTTTCTGGGCACTTCCATCACAATATGACTCTTAAAGGTGAGCCCCATGACCCAGCCTGCAGGCTGTCCAAATGCAGCCTGGAGGTTTGGAATGATTCATACTCACAGGGAGACAACTCATGATGGCTAAAAGAGGAAAATCAAATCCTTCCATGCTGAACGTGGACCAAACTGGATGAATGCTGCAATGGAAAGTGGAAGTGAACAGAGGCCTGTATTTTTTGAAGGGGGAAGAAAGGAAATGTAAAAGGCTGAGCTTAGTACACTGCGCAGGAGGTTTAGGTTTTATTACGTTACACACACCTCCTCCTCCATTCTGCTGCCGGTAAGCACCTTCTGGCTGGAAAACCAAGGTAACAGAGGCTTGAATCAAGCATTTTACAAAAGTATTAATCTACCTTCTCTACAAACAGGGGTACTTTTTCTCAGCTCTTCCAGTTCACATCACGGTGATAACGTGAAGTCTCCATCACAGCTATCTCCGTTACCAACCAAGGGAGATCCTCAGAGCATCAATCCCGTTGCTGAAGTTTCTCTCTTCTCTTAGGGAGGCAGTTGAAGTTTATAAATAAGCTTACTTACATGTTGTATCTGAAAAACACACGTTGCTTCTCAGTGCCTCACAAATACTGCCTGGTGGTGGGTTTGCTGATGGTTTGTGTAGGACACAGTGACCTGGGCCACTGGTCTGACACACAGAGACCTTTGGAGCAGCTTCAAAGTACAATGCAACAAGACACTGGGCTTTAAGAAACGATATGAAGATGGCATTAGCTTTGTTATTTTCTGAGCTATTTGGTAAGCACCAAGAATGAGCCTTTGCTTTGACCAGCTGTAGTCCCCTAACAGAGTAAATAACCTTCATGCCACAGTAAGGAAGGGAAAAGCCTTCCCTTTGATTTTTCTTTATTCAGAGCACTGAAGGTTTTACACTGCTGCCCACTGGTGAGGAACAAATCTGCGGTAGGATAAACAAGTGGCTTTTGTAAAGTCCAGGCCATCCCACTACCAGGAAAAGTGACCAACGCGAAGCCCCAAAACTATGAGCAGTATTTTGTTTTGTGGCTGCTGTTTATTAACGATGCCGAATCCACCCACAGCCTGCCAGAAGTTGTAACACTTCTTGTGCCAGCAGCAAAGCGTAGCTCAGTTCTGGGTTGTGACGGCTGGGCTCCTACAAATGCCCACCAGAAACGAGGTATCAATTACAGGAGTGCTGTCATCAGCAGCTGGAGGACAGACATTGCCTATCATGGCACCAGGTTTGCCTTTCCACATTGTGCTCATCTCATGATGCACGCTCAGCCCAAGAGGCTTCCATGGAGCCCATGGGCATCCCCACTCACCCCTCTGTGTCTGTTCAGACCTTCAGCAGTTTCACTGCCCTTCTCTGGACCTGCTCCAGCAATAGCATTCATTAAGTGTGAATTGGGTGGAATCAGACCTTGGTTTAAACTCCTTTGACAGAAGTCATTGATCTGGAGTGACCAGCCTCAGCAACAAGCACCTGAACATCAGCTTCTGACTGATAGACACATTACTTCCGTTGAGAGCACCCTGCACAGAGGAGTCCAGGTTATCAGCTGGGTGATGGAGCAAAGGGGTCCCATCCGAGGCGGCTGCTGGGAAACAACTGAAAAGGGCCACACAGATATCCACAGGCTGCTGCTGGTTTGTGGGAGTTTTTCCCCTTCTACAGACGGGAAGAAGCAACACAGACATGTTTCTGGACGGGTTCTGTCCCTGCCAGGACTAAATGAAGGGCTTCAATTCAGAGCTACAGCACCCTCGGGATGTCGAGACATAGGGAACAAAGAGGGGATTTAGGGAACAAGTGAAAAGGCATATTATATTTAGATAATAAAATTAACATGAGGAAAATTGTTTCCTGGAAAATAATGCCGTGTTATATGACGTATAATTATGGCACTACTGGAATGGTAATTAAGAGGCAGGCAATTAATAATTGCAATCCAGAGGTGGAGCAGCACCATGGCTGCTCTGTGCCAAGGGCCTGGCCCACCCGAGCTCCAGCTCTTCAAAGGGAATCCTGCAGCTACAGCCGAGGCGGAACGCTTTGCAGGAAACCCAGAGCGGAGGAAGGCGTCGTATGTCAAGTGGTGATGAGGTGCAAAGAGGAACCTGTCGCGAGCAGCACAAAGGGATGGTAAATATCTTTCCCCCAAGTCCCCAGCTTTTCTGCAGCCTGTCAGAGCTGGAGATGTCAGCTCCTGACCTGGCCACTGCCAAGGAACTGCAGAACCAGCCCTGGGGCCGCCTGCTTGGGAAGTGATGGGGCAGATGGCGAGCCGCGGTGCAGAAAATACCCAGAACTTCTAACCCCAAATTCCACTAATCCAGAGGCTGAAGTAACGTGGTTTTATGGACTCTGTAAACTGGTGTATGGGGTTTGCAAAACTTGCCTGGCTGCACAGATTTCTTCTGGGGTTTTGGCTTCTGGTTTCTCATCCTTTCTGCAGCTCTGTGCGACTCAAGTCTAAACAGCACCCCAACAGCAGTGAGTTCTCCTGGACGACAGCAGGACAGGCAGCTTTGCCAGGAGCTGGCACCCAAGATACAGCTCACAGTTTGCAAACAAACATTTGGCCACTCTGAATGGGATTTCCTTCCATGCTTAAGCAGGTATCGACATGCCTGAACATCCAGATTTGCTGCCGTGCCTCAGCTACTTGCCTTCCCGTGGTTTTCAACAGGAGCCATCCCCACTTTTCAGGTGGTTTTTTTTTCTCTTTTCTACTCCTTTTGTTAACACCTCTTCTGAGCAGGATCTGGAATTGCTTCATGGAGACCTGTGTGCACCAGGAGCCACAGGAAAGACCCCAGGGCCAAGAGGGTATGAGAGAGTCCTACAGTGGGCACAGGATGCATATGCTGGGATAGAGCAATGGACCCATTTCCACCCCGTGCTGTGCTTCAGAGCTGCATGAACACCTAGCTACATGTCCAGCACTAACCCACCAGAGCAGGAGCCACGCTCCCTCCTCCTGCCAGCACCAGGAGACCCACAGTGCTAATTGCTGCTAATGAGCTAGTGTGGACAGACACCTCGTCAGGCACACGCTCCAGCAGCCCCTGGGCCCAGGTGAACAGAAACTCTTGTGGGGGACCTTTCAGTGAGTTAAACACTAATAACAAAGATGCAAAGAGCCCATTTCCTCTTCCTCCTCCTCCCCAGGCTGTCCTGTCCATCCCAGTCACTCAGCACCAGACCCAGCTTTGCAGAGAGACAGCACTGGGTGTAATAGCATCAGAGCCTCCACTCGCCTGTGGTACATCAGTATTTATGCCCTGTCCTCCTCTGATTTTAAACCTGAAATCACTTTGTATTTTAAAGCCTTCAGGACATTCCTGCCCTGGAAACAAACAGCCTTACTCTCATCTCAGAAATAACCTTCTCTTGGGATTGATGAATTTCTCCTCTGCTGCCAAATACAGTCAGATTCAAACCAAGAGCTCCCATTCAGCCTTCTGCACCTTTACGTAATGCTGAGCACAGTTGGTGGCTTGAGTTTTAACTTTTGCTGTCATTTTGCTGAGGGATAAGCATATCTAATGCAGATTAAATGAAATTCCAGCACACAAGAACTATGGGGGTAAATATAAACCCATGGCCAGAGAGCGATGGTTATGTCATCGCTGAGGAATCCCAACGGCGCCTAAATGAAAATACCACAAAGAAAGCAAACCCGGAAGTTTGGGGCAGGGGGAGAGGAGTGAGGGAAGATGCAGGATATGGGAACAAAGAGAAAAGCCAGGATAACCTGGGCTGGGTTTGCCTCATGCCATTGCTGCAAGCCCTGGTTTTGTAAAACCCGGTCTAAGTTCTCATGCTCACACGAAGGAGATTTTGCAGAATAAGCTAAAAGATACAGAGGAGCTGGTCTAACCAGCTTCCCCCTGGTCTAATTTATAGCTGTCACCTGTTTGCTGGTACTATGTGGGGAAAGTATTTTGAGGGACTCTGTATCTATTGGTAGGCAGTGGAAGCAACTACTGGCCTCCCCAGAGGTGTCCCAGCAGGGATGCAGGCTGGAGTGGGCAGCCAGGGATGCTGCCACCCTGGCACATCCAGGGGCTTTGTCAATGCCTTTAACTCTTGTTATTGCAGAGAAACAATTAAAAAGCTTCAGATAAGTTTTCCAAGAGTTTCATTACGCTGTTAGCAGCCATTCTTTAGGAATACAACCCTTTTATAAGCATAATTAACTTACAAGGGGCTTCAAGTATTCCCTGACCCATCCCAATACAGAGTAAACCCATATAAATCATTTTTCCCAGTCAAGGGACACCCAAGTCTCAGAAGCCCCAAAGGCATGTACCTGGAAGGCAGCAAACCACATCAGCCAGTCCAGGCGGTAGTGGTAGGGGCTGATGAAGCATGGCCTCCTCTTCAAGTTCCCAGGCTTGCATTTGAAGTCAAACTCCTCCCAGACAGCAGTGGGGTCATTGGGATCCATGCTGGATGTCCCCTGAAGGATGACCTCTGTTCTCTCCTTGGTTATGCTGTGGGATACAACATGCTATTGGTTTTTGTCTCAGGTCAGGTAAAATGAGAGTCAACATGACAACAGAAGTCAATAGGCTTATGGTAAGGTTGGATCCTGACGGCTCAAGCTACAGACAAGCTTTGTGTCCAGACTTTTCTCCCTCCAGCAGCAAAGGACAGGGAAAACCTCAACTTCCATTCCCTTCCATGCTCCCCTCTATCAAACTCCAGTTGTGTCAGTTGAAGGAGGGGAGGTTTCACAGAAATCCTGCCTTGAAGGTCTGGCCCCGAGACCTCCCATCTGCAGGATCAGCAGAGCAGCTTCTAGCTGGGACCACTCCAGCATCCCCTTTGTAAACCTGGCTCTCCCTGAAGCACCGCTGGCCACAGGGTGCTGAGCTCCAGCTCCAACCTTGGATGGCAGAAGGGCAGGACACACTCACCATGAGCCCAGGTCAACTGGCTGCAGCTCCCTGAGCTTTGGGCTGGTGGCTGGCCCCATATGGAGTACCCCTCAGGTACTGCTCTTGGGGCACCATTAACAGCTGTCTCTATGTGCCCAACCATTTCAACATCCTGGCTGGAAGACAGGTCTTGTGGAGCTATTACTCAGCAAGAGGAGGAGGAGGTAAAGTGTGAGCCAACACAAAGCAAGCCAAGAAAAGCAGAAAATGAAAACAAAAAGGCTCCCCCATACCCAGTTGATGTATAGAAACTCAGTTAAAAGCCCCTCAGCTTTATGGCAGGTCACAGGTATTCCCTATGGGGCTTGGCTGGACTCTCTCTGCACAGCAAGGTGGTAGAGCTGTGAGGATGGTAAACTCAGGGCCATGGAAAGCTCCTGTGAAAACAGCACCATCAAGTTCTCAATGACCTGTCAGTGACGCTCACCTACACTGGAGAGCTGTTTTCCATAAGGAACACAGAACGGCCTAACTCTGCCTATCAAAGCTGTCCAGTTCCCAACACCCTGCTCATTTTTTACTGCTTTGGTCCTTCCTCCTCCAACCCAAGAAACTGAAGGTTTGGAAACAGCCTCCACCTTCTCCCCCAATGGCTTCCAGTGATAGATGCTTACAACCCAAGGAATGCTGCACGTCTCTGCTTATAATTGTTACCTACATTTAATAGATTTCTGGATTCTCCAGCCAAGTTCCATATTATTCACTGGGCTGAGTTATGAGCCGTGGCCAGCTGCCCAATGGTTAGAAACACACTGTAAATCAGGGACACCAAATTACTAATAAAAGTATGTTCCTACTGTGTGATTCAAAATATGTCAAGTTTCACATAATCGTATATTCATTATAAGCTGCAATCCTCTTTTTATTGGTTTACATAGGCTGGAATTACAAACATATTACAGCAGCATTTCATCACATGCTCTTTAGGTTCTGGTAACTGTTGAAACAGAAACCATAGACTGAAGAAGAAAAAGAACAACAACCCAAAGAAAACAATCTCCCGTAGCTTCACCACTCCAGCCTTCAAAGAGGTTCAGGGGTTATTTCTTCTTTTCTCCCAAAAGAAGAGGAAACTTCAGCATTTTCCACAACTAGTGCTTATTTTTACTATATTAAGCATGATATTTTTAATCCTGTGTTTTTCCTAACTTTTTTCTTTCCACAGAAATTTCTGCTATTTGAAAAATGGGGGAAAACATCATATTAATTTGATGGGCTTCAAGGTGTCCTCTGCATCTTCAGTGCTCACAGTGAGACCTGCTCCTCCCCTTCACCACCTGCTCAGCCAATCCTCCCAACAGCCAACTTGCTTAGAAATCCTATTTAATTACTATTGGCATCTCCTTTGGGACCTTGTCCAGAGACCACTAACCCATGAGCTGCCATCCCACCAGCTCAGACCTCTGAGGAACACTCCATGGCCACCATGGTGGTGGCCAAGCCAGAGGTCCATGCAAAGAAGACTGGCCCTGTTGCTGTCCCTGGGACAAGCTGTTCTGGTGAAGCCATGTTTCATAGAATCATGGAATGATTTGGGTTGGAAGGGACCTTAAAGCTCATCCAGCTCCAACCCCTGACACGGGCAGGGACACCTTCCACTAGAGCAGCTTGCTCCAAGCCCCTGTGTCCAACCTGGCCTTGAACACTGCCAGGGATGGGGCAGCCACAGCTTCTCTGGGCACCCTGTGCCAGCGCCTCAGCACCCTCACAGGGAAGAGCTTCTGCCTAAGAGCTCATCTCAGTCTCCCCTCTGGCAGGTTAAAGCCATTCCCCTTGGCCTGTCCCTACAGGCCCTTGTCCAAAGCCCCTCTCCAGGTTTCCTGCAGCCCCTTTAGGCACTGGAAGACTTAAGGAAGATGTCTCAGAAGGCAGCAGCCACACTGCTGCTGGACCTGTCCCCTCAATCTGTCTTGGTCTTTTTTGAGGCCATTTATACTTTTGTCTCCACAGTTTCCTGGATATGAATTCCCCAAGTCACTCGTTGGAAAAAGCACTTCCTCTTGTTGGCCTAAAACCTGCTACTCAATAGCTTGTGTGACTATTTACATGAGGGAGAACAAATGTGAGCAGGGGAAGAGAAGCTCACCATAAATAAAGCTGGCTGGTGACGGTGAACACTATCCACTGGCTGAACCCTCCTATGGATATTTTCATACCACTATTACATTTGCTACATCAATATAATGAGGTAACTAAGCGTAGCTCAAAGAAAATAAATGATAATTCGGTGGGAAAGAAACCTGCTCCTTCTCTCCTTCTCTCCCATAAACAGATATTCCAAGTCTGTTGGCTACTGGAAGGATTTCTGTGTACGCTTAAGGCACACACATTGGCTGTTGGAGTATCCTGGAGAGAGGAGCAAAGCAAAATGATGTGCATGTACCTCCCGAAAGCTCCGTAGGTATTCACTATCCTGAGAGGGTTGAATGATGTGTTCATCACTTGTCTGGAGTTGAGCAGGTTTAGGACAACTGGGATGCTGAGATAAGCAATGAGGAGGCCGAAGGAGATGTTCACCACTTTGCGGATATAGCAGCCTGTTTGGGACACAGAAGCAGATCAGAAGAAGATGATTTCACTGCCAGCAACGGGTTCTGCTCCCCCAACTCCCCTAAATGACCCCCCTATGGTGGCCAGGACCCTGCCTGGGTACTTACACCTGCTCTCAGGCTGGGGCTGACAAACACTCCACTGTAATCAACCTGACCTTGCCAAGGGCCATACACAATCGCTCCCAAGATCTGCCTTTCTCTAAATAGTCTGAGAAAGGGCTGAAAAGAAAAATGTCTAAAATGTCACATTAAACAGTGCTTTTATACAGGGAAAAAACACAGCTGGCACTTGCACCTTGCTCAGAATTGCCCTCCTGGTTTGTAAGCTGTGTATGGAGAGACTCCAGCTCCCCATGGCTGCCCCAAACTCTCACCACCCACATTATTTCTTGCATGTTCCTCCTTCTTGCTCACTACCTCCATTCAAACCTCATTTTCCTTTTGTAAAGTCTCTATTGCTTATCTACGCACCAGCACTTTGGTATTGGGTTTGCAGGAGCAGCACACGGCTGTGCTGGATTTCAGTCTAAGGAGACACTGACTGCAATCAGACAAATAAGCAGATGTGACCTCGGAGGGGTTCCTACCCTTATGGCCATTTTAGATTTATTTAACATCAACAGCCAAAGGATCAGATTCAAAGCAATTGCATGGAGCTTCCCCCTTATCTCTGCAGGAGAGGGATGTTTATTTGAACCTCTCTCAGAAGCTATTAATAATTGTTTAGTCTGAGAACATTTCTGGAGAACATGTGATTTGGAAGGAGCTCACTGAGATGCTTCCACTCGCCCCCTGTGCTGCTGTGGGAGCTCTGTAAGGCTGTTGGGCATTTTTTTGTCTTTAGATGGGCTGAACTTCTTAACCTGTAATTAAAGAACAGGTACAGACACAGACATGGACTGTGCATGGCCATGACTGTCCTTCAGCAGCTGGTGATTGTCATCATCATGCCCTTGGAGTCACAAATGATCTACACGGCAAGAATGAAGCAAAACCTGGGGACATGAGCTAATGGGATCTGCTTAGAGCAGGCAGGAGCAGAGCACTAGCAATGGGAATTGGAGGTCCCTTTAGGAATTACACACAGACACTTCAAGGATGTAGCCAAAGCCTTGTAAAATCAGGTCACAAGTAGGGCATGACTGGATACCTTCCTGTCTTCTGCTCTGGTGACCCAGGGGTGAGGGCTCCTCTAAGTCTCTTGCCATCAGCACCAGCTCAATATCCTCTGCTTTGTTAGCAGGAAAAATATGAATTAAAAATATGAATAATAAAATATGAATATAAAATATGAATAAAAAATATGAAGAAATCCAATTCTACCCAGAACATTACAGATACCCTGTCCTTTACTTATGGATTACCCCTTTGTAAAACCCAGAAGGGACACCTCAACCCTCCAGAGACAAGTATTGATGGTTCTCCTTGCTTGGCCACCTTGACTCAGTTAAGGTGTTTTCTGGAGAACATCACAGAAAAGGAGCAAGTTCCTCAATAAAAAGGATCTACCTCCCCCTCACGGTGACTCACCAAGTGCCAAACCAAAGAGCTGCCCTTTGGCTTCTCCTCCAGAAAGGAAAGTGAAACTTGAGTGTTGTTTGGGACTGGATGCAAAACCAGAGCTGGTAGGAAAGCTTTAGGCATTCCAGCCTCTAAAGTAAAGCTACTGGGGGGGGAGAAAGCTGGTATAGATTTCTTCCAGCAAAATATGTAAGATAAGAGACAGAAAGCTTAATGAAACTGCATTAGCCTTGCTGGAACTAAAGCTCCTGGTTAATAACCCGTGTTTCTTGGTAGACGAGAAAGGACTAGAGACAGATGCTGTCTCCTGTTGATATTTTTCATTCTTCTGACAGATGTTTGGTATATTTAAAAATGAGCATCTGTGATTGTTGTTGATATGAGAGGCAATTTGTTGCTTATACGTGGTTTATAAAACTGCTACAAACACAAGTCTACATCTGGTATGCAGCCCCATGAAAAATATCCCAGTGCTGCTTGTGCAGGGGATCTTCTGGAACAGGGCTGCTTGAAAACTCCCTTCAGAGGAAACACTGGCCACATCGATCCCTTTCCTTCAGTTACACACCCCATTGTATTTGCTTTTCCATATTCCCAGCAGACAGGGCTCTCTTCCTGTTAGCAAAACAGTTACTGGACCCACAATGGATCAACAATTGATTTCTTTCTAGAAGACCAACCTCATGTCCAGTTACTTAACCAGGGAAGCAAGGTGTTCGTGCAGCCCTAGCACCCATGGGTGCAAAAGGCAGGAGGGCAGGTGGGTCATGGGGCCACCGTGCCATGGGGCAGAGAGGAGAGCAAATGTGAGAGCTGCTTCTGCACCCAACTTCTAACACAAAATCCTCACCTCAAACTGCACTGGGGGCTTCACCCTTGACTTCAAATCACAGAGTCACAGACTTGTTTAGGATTGGAAGGGATCTTAAAGCTCCTCCAGCTCCAACCCCTGCCACGGGCAGGGATCCCTTCCACCAGAGCAGCTTGCTCCAAGCCCCTGTGTCCAACCTGGCCTTGAACACTGCCAGGGATGGGGCAGCCACAGCTTCTTGGGCACCCTGTGCCAGCGCCTCAGCACCCTCACAGGGAAGAGCTTCTGCCTAAGAGCTCATCTCAATCTCCCCTCTGTCAGTTTAAAACGCTTGTTCTGTCCCTTCATGCCCTTGTAAAATGCCTTTGCTCGGGAATAACTCACCCAGGGGAAGCTTCTCCTTGGCTGCCTCTTTGCTCTGTATCTGCACCACACGCTCTTTCACCCTGGAGCTGAAGAGGAACCCCAGGCTGATGTCGTCGAAGCAGGCGATGCTGGGCACCATGGTTAGCCAGTTGAGGAAACTCAGGTTTCCACTGATGATAAGAAGCACCTACATGGGAAAGAAAACAGCAGAGGGTGTTGCATCAGCTCAAATGACAAGAGAAAAGTGCTGTGAGAGAACTGTCGGATGGATTTTAGCACCTTAGCACATACTTTGCTGCTGTTCCACGACTGCAGCAGTGATGGCAAACCTTTCCCTCTCTGCCCAGGCTCCAGCACAAATGTACCCCACTTTCAGCAGGAGGAAGCTCAGCCAGGGTACAGTGTGACACAGCAGGTCAGCCCTTGGGAATCGTCTGCTTCCTGCTTATGCCAATGTATCTGTGACAGCAACATTCCTGAACCCCTTCAGGAGGAAATACTGGAACTTCTAATTAAAGAGCTGCATTAAATATGAAAATGTGGATTTTTAAGAGGCCTTTAAAAAGAATTTTGGCTTTTGTTGGCCACTGAGATTGTCTTGCATGTGTAAGGCAGAGGAAGTGGAAAAATCTGAAGCTCTGAGTCTCCATAAGCACCTGTACACACTGGGAAGGGCCTTTTGAAGGCACAGGTTATTTTTTGTCTTACTCTTACAATGACTTGAGAAATATGAGGAACCTTCTTGCCATTCCTCAGCAAGTCCTAATGAACATCAGGCTCATCAGTCTTTGGGCACTGCTTGCCTAGTCTTGATCATAAATCACATCCTCACGGCCCATGGTTTCATTTTGCAGGTGTGAGATGTCACTTCCTCACCACATTCATACATCAGCCACAGGGAAGGTGCAGGTAAACCCTGCTCAGGTACATGCCAACCCCCCAGCAGAGCCTTTCATTAGAGCTTCATATAAACCCAAACATACAGAGCAGTTTCTGCTTCCTCACAAGTGCTGGTTTTAATTTCTACTTTTCTAGCCTAAATTTATCCAAGCCCAGTCTATATTTACCCATATTTTCCCAAGCCAGTATTTTACCTGCTCGCAGACCCCTGTTTTATTCGTACAGTCACATCCCCTCTCCAGTTTTCCACTTTAAAGCACGCCAAACCGCTCTGCTCTCCTCTCCCTGCCTGCCCATCCCAGCAGCCATGCCCTCCACCCCAGCAAGGTCCCATCAATCTTTCTGGGTGCTGACAAGGACCGTACGGAGGAGATCAGATGGGTCTCACCATGAACTTGTACACGCTAACATTTCTCATGCTCAACCAGACCTACCTCCCCTCCTGCTGTGTTTTAACGCCACATTTATCTTCGCTGCCGCGGTGTCACATTCGCGCTTGCCATGTTTCATGTGAGAAGGGAGCACTGCCAGCTCAACCTCGCTGACACTGAGGCTTGCACCCGATGCAGAATGGATGTTGGGAACTTGCTGCAGTGCCAGGGAAAGGTGTTAAGTGAAGCCAACCCCAGGGCACTGACTGTGAAGACACAACACCTGGGTTTCCCTGGGGCTGCCCACCACAAGCAGTCACAAAGGAACATGTTAGGAATGATTTAGTGTTGGCATAAAACAGTATCTGGGAATCCACACACAAAAGACAAGAACTGAAAAGCAGCTGATGCCTCTTCAGGGCTATTTGAGTTTTGAAGCTGATTTGGATTCTTGTCCCATTAGGCACATTACTTAGGATTCAGCCCTAATTAAGTAGCTGCTCCTCAGACACGTTAAAACAAAAGAGGCAGAAAAAAGGAAGGAAAAGGAAGTAGCCTCACCATCTTATCCATAAAATATGAAGGTTATAAAGCTGACTTAATGTATTACAAGTCAGAAAATAATGCCCTGATATAACAGTCATTTACATTTCAGCCTTCAGACCAGCTAATGAGAACTTCCTCACCTTCCAGCAGGGTTGAAAGCTGTAACTTCAAGTGGCACCACCACTATTACCCTATTTAAAGAACGCTTCTCCATTCACACAGCTGAATTTCATCCTCCTGTGAGCTGTCTGCTCACAGCTTCAGTGCATGTGGCCAACAGAGACTTTCAAGATGGTGCAAGACCAAATGTGTGAACCCACAACACCCCCAGCATCCCGCAGCAGGCTGAGGAGCTGCAGTGTGGACCACGCAGACCAACCTCAGCCCCTCCTCTTGTGAACAAGCAATGAAGCTTTTAGAAGCCCTGAGGAGATGCAGAAGCTGAAGCACTAACCACAGAACCAAGAGGCAGAGCTGAAGTTCTCCAGCCCCTCCAGCCCATGTTGCACCTGAGGACAGTGGGTTTCTGGATGAAACCCAGCTGCCTTGAAGAGCCAACTCAAGTCAAACATAAGAATACTCCTTAGGAGCTGGAAACCATCACAAACTTCCCACTCCCATGGCAAAGCACACGTCTGGAGCTGGAGCTGCCTTCTCCAACAGACACAAACAAAAACCCCACAATTAACACCAAAAATCTACATCCCAAGCAAAGAGGAAAACTCATGGAACCTGCAAAGCTCTCCTCTGGCTAGGATGACGAAAGCTCAGACAGGTACCAGTAGTTATCAACCCTACTGTGTAATGTAGCCACTGTCATGGTAAAAGGTCCTATAACACAAGATGGACCATACATCAGCAGATCTTTGCCTAGATCCTGGGATGCCTGGGAATGCTGCAATATATTTCTTCCATATTTCTTCAGGGCTTTTAGAGAGGTGTCTTGACCTCACTCAGAGGTCTCCAACCTCTCCTGGGGCTTGTTTGGGAACAAGGTCTCCATAGCATGCCAACTGTATGGGTGGGAACAAAGAGATGAGCCCAGCACCCTATTTCACAAGCAGGACATGTATTTGCTTTCAAGGGCTTTTGGGCATTACTTGGGGGTTGTTCTGAGCATTTTGTAAGACTCACAATAACTCAAGGAGGCTCCAACTGCAGTGTGGACCTGTTTAGCTTGGACTTGCCAAACCAGATGGTTAAGAGGACAATTCCTGTCCTGAAAACAAGTAAATGTAAACACATCGGACAAAGATCAAGATTAGGATGTATCACAGCTGTGTTATAGGCAGCGAATGGAAGAATTTTGGCAACTAATTCTCATTTCATCAGCACTCTCTGGAGATATCACCTTAAAACAACTCATAAGGAGTCTTCCAGCAGAACCTGAACTAAACCCTAAATCTCCCAATTACAAATGCAATGTCTTAATTGCAAGTTGCCCCTGCAATACCTGTGTGTCCAAACGCTGGTCCCCTGGCTTTCCTACTATCCACAGTGCAAACATCAATAGCACATGGACTTTCAGCAAGCGTTCTGTTAAAAAGATGAATGTTTTCTCATTAAAAATGGCAAGAAATAAAGGTTAAAAATGTGTGATTTCATATTTTATATGATTGGCACCAATTTTTTTAAGCATGGTGGTGTTTGTAGGTTACAAGTTCCAAAGCCCAGCAGGACCCTTTAGTCACATGATCTTAAGAAAAGGAGAGATCTGACCTATTACAGCAAGTAACAATAGTCTTAACTATTGTTTAGTTAAAAACTAATGACTTCTTTAGCTTGAGTTGGATAATTATCCACAATTATGAGGAGAAGAAAAGTATTTAAATCTGAATTACATACGAGTTAGGACCTTGGACATGTTACACCCGAGGTTTGGTCCTCCCCCTTTGACCTGAACGTGATTCAGTTCAATGCATATTAATCAGGCTGTGTTCATTAACACACTTCTCACTTAGCTGCTTTGTTAGGAAACTCTGCTCCTTTTCTGATGCAATTTGCCTCGTGCAATTGCAGTGCTATTAAGAAAACAGTTCTGCACTTTGCCACTTCTGCTGAGGCTCGCTTAGCAGCTTCATACGGAGCGACTGGGTGGTCCATGGGAGGTTTTTTCTGCAGTGATTCACCTCTCTTTATTGCCTGGAAGCCAGAAGCAAGAGATCTGATTTCCACCAGCCCTGAAAAAATCAGGGGATTCAAAAATAATACGAGTTTGGAGTTTTCTGGTCTGTGTGTGGAATCATGAACCTGACACGGTTTTAGCCTGAGTTATTCTGAGTTTGGATGCTCACAGCAGTCACTGCCCGGCACCACAGTTAAACCCAGGTTAATATTATACCCTGCTTGAGGGGGGCTGAGCATCAGGAGCCCTCCTTTGCAAAAACAAACCTCAAAGGAACTCCCATTTCCAAGTCAATTAACAGGAAAACAGATGATTTTTCAAACGGGTGCCTCCTTGCAAACAGTTTTGAGGCAGTTTCTGCAGGAGGTGTATGTTATTTCATCGACGTGTCCAGCCAGCGCCAGGGTAATGGTCGGACTTGATCTTAAAGGTCTTTTCCAACCTGTATGATTCTATCATTCTGTGAAGCTTTGTCATCAGAGCAACTGGTGTCTTCTGCAGCGCTGCTCCTGCGAGCGCAGCATCCCCCGAGGTTAGTGGATCCTTTGCAATTCAAACTAGTATTTGCCTTGGCAGGCAGAGCACATTTACCTAAATCCTTCCTTTTCTCATGAAATCACCTAAGCTTCGGTGTCTTCCTGCTCTCCCTGCCCTGGAGCCGCGCTGGTTCCTGGCGGGAAGTTTAACTTAACATGAATTTCTCATGTTGGATGAGCCAGGTTGGATGGGGCTTGGAGCAAGCTGCTCCAGTGGAAGGTGTCCCTGCCCATGGCAGGGGTTGGAGCTGGATGAGCTTTAAGGTCCCTTCCAACCCAAACCATTCCCTGATTCTATGACTGTCAGGCAGAGATCTCTGCTCACCTCCTGCCCTGGGAACTGAAGGGGGTGAATGCCTGATGCTGGTGATTTGGGGTAAAAAGATAAACTCCTTGAAGTCATATTTCATCCATGTGGGTGCTGGACCTCCTCTGCACCCACGTTTGGGGACAAGGATGCCAAAGCCCTTCATGAGCTGGCCTGGCAGCACACGGAGAGCATTGCTGCTCCTTGCCCATCTGCTGCATGAGGAAGAAGAGCTGCTTGCACCCATCTCACAGTAATTTCTCCCTCTGCACCATGCCAGGCTTCACCCTTCCGCACTCCTACCACGATTATAATCTAACTGTATCTCTGCATCTCCATCACCATCCCAACCTCTATTGCCATGGATGGGCTGCACCCTCCCTACCTTGGTTTTGATTTGTG